ACAGTCCAGACCACAAGAAACCAAATATTATCTGTGGTAAATTCCAAAACTGACCAACATTTTTGTACTTGTGTAGATTTGGTAACAGCACAACACTTGATTTTTGAGAAGGACTATTCCGGTGATCTTGAAAACATGTTCTGTGGTGTACACACGTACAAATCTCTGACACATTTGAAACTATATCAGCCCTTTTCAGGAGAAAAGTGGTTCAGCCCTTGTGGTAACTTGACTGTGTGTCATCTGATCTTTCCCAGGGTTCGATGACTTCCACCTCTCCATCCACAGCGAAATGGCAACAGTTGCTAAGGCAATGGCCTGCCCGGAGTCAGGTCTGGAGGTGCGAGACAGGATGTGGCTCAAGATAACCATCGCTAACGCTTTCATTGGTACGTCTGTCGGAGCAGAAGCCATGGTCCCGCATTTATCATTTTCTTCATCAGTATGCAGACACACCTCTGCTCTTTATTAGCTTAGTTCAGCCTGTATTAACCATCAGATGTTCAGTGTTATGGCTAAGATGAAAACTAAAAGCCTATTGTGTCAAAAAATACATTATCAATTGTTATAGTGCTAAAATGATTTTTGATTATTTCAATAATCCATTGCCCTAACTTTTCATATTGTTCCACACCAGAGTAGTGTTATCTTCATAGGTAAAAATTACGTGAGTTAGTTTTTTTTTTTTATGTTATGATTTGCAAATCATCGAAACCCAATATTTTATTGAAAATACCACGATTTTCATCAATTTATCGATGTTGAAATTAAGAAAATTACTTTGAAATGATATGTGAAAGTTAAAATCGATGCTAACTTGTTTTAAAAAAAGTTGAGACGATGGCAATATAAAAATGATTAAAAGATTCAGACAATCCGTAGAAATCTCTGTAGGCAAGGGACAAAGCAGACAAACAACACTGGGCGATCGTGATCTTCAGGCCTTCAGACTGCCATTCATGAAAAACTGTCCTGAGGTCTAATGAGTCAACATTTGACTCTCTCATGGTGGCCCCATTCTCCAGGCTAAAGAGTAGAGAGAGCATCCAGCTTGTTCTCAGCGCACAGTTCGAAAGCCATAATCTGTGATTGTGTGGGGGTGCATTAGCGTACATGCTATGGGTAACCTGCACATTTATGAAAGCCCCATTGATGCTGACAAAGTGTTGTAAAACCAAAAAGTATTGCAACTTCATGATAAACATGACCCTGCCCCAACTTTTATGAAACATCTTGCCGGCATCAAATGCAAAATGGGCATATCCTTTTCCAAAAACACTGATATAAGGTATGATTGTAAGATAGTTTTTAGCGAATATGGGGGTGCAATGTTTTGCAAATCATCACATTCTGTTTTTATTTTACATTTTGATTATTTTACATCTTAACTCTTCATTAAAAGGGGTTGTGAAATGTGTATGTCCTTCAGGTTCTGATGTGGTGGACTGGCTCTTCCATCATGTTGAAGGGTTCTCAGATCGCAGAGAAGCCCGTAAATATGCCAGCAACCTGCTAAAGGCTGGCTACATCCGACACACTGTCAACAAGATCACCTTTTCTGAACAATGTTATTACATCTTCGGAGATCTCTGTGGCAGTAAGTGGACACTCAGCTCTTTTTAAACCTAACACCTGCTTTGATTTGTAGCTATAATAACAAAGTGTTCGGGTTAAGTTGTATCTGTGTTTCCTGTAATGCCTTCTACTGCCATATCCACTGATTACAGTGACGATTATAGGCACTCATTGGGGTGTTTTCTACGAATAGGGTGTAAAGTTGAATGTCTAAATCAATTTTTTCCTTCCATCTCCCACAGACATGACCCACCTGTCTATTCATGACCATGATGGTTCCAGTGGGGGCGCCTCAGATCAGGACACTCTCCCCCCTCTGCCACATCCTGGGGCAGCCCCCTGGCCCATGGCCCTTCCTTACCAGTTCCCCATTCCTCACCCATATGACCTGCCACAGCCATTCCATGGAGGACCAGGAGCTGGTAGTGCAGGAAGCCAGCACAGCGGTGAGTACAGCAAGCAAATGGTGTATGTTTTACATCAAAATGTCTGTAGATTTTTTTCAATGTCTACATAGTTTCCCAGGCAATCATTTGTTTGACTAATTTTGACTTGCATGAATCCATGTAAGCTATGACTGCTTAGCTCGTAAATTAGCAAACTACAAACCTCATGAAATTACTTTTCAAGCTACGGAGATTTTGTTTTACGTGTCCCTTATAGGAATTTAAAGGATTTATTCCCATGTTGTACTGCATTAAAATATTGTTTGATCTCTTATCCAGAAAACAGGCTACCTCTGTTAAGAGTTACATTTCCCCTCCAACAGCTCCGAAACGGTCTTATTTACATGTTTTATTTTGTGTATTTAATGTGTAGAAATAGAAAACCAGACATTGTGGTTTAAAAAGCTGTTTGCTTAACGCAATGGAGATATTTACTGACAGCTGGAACCAATGGCTGTGCAGAACATCCCAGACGTCATGTCCTGATTTTGTGGTCGCACACTTCCACGTAGTCATAAATAGTTTACCTACTTATGAGATACAACATGGTACAATTTTGGAGTTTTTTCTAGGTTAAAGTTTTGATGCTTAGCTTGTCCCATGCCTACTTTTGTATAAGATGCAAATAGATTTACATGAAAATCTTTTGCAATGTCCGATTGTTCTTTTACAAACTGTTAGAGTTATCATTAGACTGAAGACCTTGTCTTGAAAGCAAGAAGACTGTTTCTGGTAATACAATAAAGACATGTAATTGCCTTTGGCTGAGTATTTCAGCCTGTGGGAGGCAGTGATTGCTCAGTGACCGTGTCTGCATTAGTCATGCAGCTCTCATGAAAGTCTCCCACAAACTGGGTCAGTACTGCCTGCCTCACTTCTCTCTCACACAGAAGGGAGAGAGTGGCTCATGGAGACATTTTATTTTCAATGTTTGTTAGATAATAACACAGTGTCTTTACCTCTGTCCATAGGAAGCAGCGGTTCCAACTGCAGTAAGAACGAGGGACGGAAGTCTGGTGGCAGCGGCAGTGAACCAGAGATCAGGAGCCACCGAGCTCCAAGTGAGCGCTCAGTGGCTCCCCCTAGTGAGCGAAGCGTCCGTAGCTCTGTCAGCCACCGCAGTGCCAACTCCCACTCAATAGCCTACGGTCCTGGCCTTATCTACGGCCCCCCTGGCCTGCCCCCCCAGCCGCAACATCTATCTACAGCAGCACCTGGCGCCCCACCAGGCAGAGAGCTCGCCACTGTGCCACCTGAGCTCACAGCCTCCCGCCAGTCACTGCGCATGGCGGTGGGCAATGCAGGAGAATTCTTTGTTGATGTGATGTAAGACAGCATGTAGGCAGATAACGAAGTAGCAGAAAGGGCTGTCTCATGTCACTGCAACAACTGAGAAGGACAACATGGAATGATAGGAGGGAGGGAAGATTGCAAAAGCTGTCACCCACGGCCTTGATTCATCTCCCCTGAAAGCAGAAATAAAAACAACCATTTTATGCATGTCGAAAGAAAATGTTCCTCCTATCTTATGCTTTTCTTCCTAGTAGTGACCACACTTTCTTCAGTGAAGAAACCCCCCTTGCTCAAGAAGGAACCAAAGCACCTCTCTCTGTTTCCTCTCCTCAGTGGGGAAGAGTTTGCATGAGGACAAAAAAGAATGAGAGGGAGGGAAGCGGTGGAAACAGACAGCTGGGGAAGATGACTCAGCGCTTTGCTACATGGATGTTTTTCATTTGTTCTTCTTTTCACTCTTCCCTCCTCTGCCTTCCTAATCTAACGTTCTCTGCCCTCCTCCACCCCTGCTCACCACAAAACCGAGTGAAAGAAACCTCTTCCCTCCTTCCATTGTTTCAGTCCCCTGACCTTTTAACAAGAAAAAGAAGTGAAAGAAAGCCGAAATGAACACTAACTTTTAACTTTATCCAGAATGTTTAACTGTTTGCTTGATTTGAGAGAGAAAGAAATTGAAGTTTGTATGTAGTGTAAGAGAATCACAGTTCTTCCTGTAAGAAAGCATTTGTTTTATTTTATACGTAGTTGTTTACAACTAGTTTCATTTATCAACGCTAAACATGAGCATCCAGCTGGAGGCATAATTTTTACACTACATAACTTTATTTTCATCTGTTTACCAGAGTATTTTCAGACTCTGTGTTGCGATAATGTATAGTTGAAAAAAAGTTTCTTACCATGTCTTTCACACTTCTCTTTTATCAAGGAAAAAAAATGTCTTTTTATTTATAAATATAGTTTTATGACTTAAACCTGCCGTTTTGTCTGAAGTTTTTATTTGCATGAATGTGTATATATGCTTGTGAAACAGAAACTACGCATCCTAGTTTGTTTATTTTTCTTCATGGGAACCTGGGTTCACTTTTGCATTTAAAGGGAGTGGATTCCAGACAGTCCAAGTTCAGGAATGTGAAGGTTAGGCAATGTGGTGCACAGGTGTGTGTGTGTGTGTAGTGTGCAAGAGGATCAGCGTGTGTGTTTTAATTTGCCTCAGACCTTCTGACTCAATGTTTCATATGGTTAGACCATAGATTGTAGGTTAGACTGGGAAAATTCAAAGGTGGGTTTAGTCAACGTGTAGAAAAAAATCAGATGGACTCTGCAGTTAAGCATTTAAAAGACCTCACACATACGGGACCCTCAGCTGACAGGACAAACATATTTACCATTTAAACTCTATTGTGCAGCAAAGGTCGTTTAAGGCAAGTTATTTGTCTCTAGAACTTTTTTTTCATAAGAACATTTAATAAAAAAAAAAAGTTGGTCATGTGCCAAATGGTCCTAAACTCATTTTAAACCCTCCAGTAGCCCACCAATCAGAACCCAATAGTTACACAAACACAGGCAACATTAAACGACCATGAAACTTATCAATAATTGACCAGTTGCCTATGTAGCTTATCATAACAAGGCCTGGGTGCGGTTTACACATCGTCCCAGCCGCGCCTTTTCCTGTCACAGCGGAACGGTCGTGCGTAAGGACGGCGGGTCAGCTGATCAGAGGACCGGGAGGAAGCAGCGGAGTCAGCGGGTGTGTAGAGTGGGAACCTACCGGATACTGACATAGGCTAGAACCTGGGATAACAGGGAGCAAAAGACCGGTGGCGTTCGTGAGAGAACTAGGGTAAGCTCACCGAAGTCGAAACGGTAACACGTTTCTCGTCAAAATGTTTCAGGTATAGTCCGGTAAACGTTTCAATGCTAACATTAGCAATGTTAGCTGCCGCTCCGTTAGCTGACGTCAAGTTAGCAGCAGCAGGTTGAACGTAAACGGGAAGTGGGCGACTTGTTACCGTCAAAATAAAAGCATACGATTCACAAATTGTACATTTTTTTGAAACTCTGTCGTTATTGTCGAATATCCTTTTTTTTAATTCTTAATTTCTAATGTGTAGTTGGTGAGAACAAGCTTAGTTGAATGTGAATTTACGTCTGGCGGTCTCGGTTTTCTTTTTCACCGGAAGTCACTTTAACATCCTGCACGGCTGGTTTGCTGAACATCGCCGCCAGCTAGCCTGCTATCGTGAGCTAAATTAGCTAGCTATCCCTCACTCGGTGTATTCTCCATCACTTTGATATTACCTGAAGGTCAAGCCTCCATCAATGCTGTAGCCACGTTACAATGTTGTAAAAACTAAGCATCAGGAGCAAACATTTCTCTGGGAGGAGAGAAAATGTGGAAATGTAGAAAAAAAAAAAAAAATGTATGAACGATAGGAAATGGCTCGAGTGAGCAGACATCTTGACTTCGGCAATAAAACGAGAGATTAAACCCACTCCAATCGTGTGAATGGTTAATCACGACATGGGAATGTTAATATAGTGGGGGGAAAAATAATAATTTAACCAATCTTGAGGACATGGTGGTGTAATCTGAGCTCTCTAAACACCGTTTGTTTAAGATGTCTGGCCTCTGTTTTAGAGGAATTTAAAGCATGTCCTTCATCCTCCCGGGTTTCCAGAAGCTTCATTCTTGAATGGGGACAAATCACCAGGATGTTTGTAATCTAGAAGTATTACTGCACTGCCTTTTTTTTTTTTTTTTAGATCAAATCGACTGTCTGTATGTTTGAGTCTTACTCTGGATTGTGTGTAAAACCCTGAATCTGGTGGTAAAATCAGCAGATTTGTATCTTAACTACCTGGTGGCATCCCGCTTCCCACTGGAGGCTGCTAATCTGGTGTTAATCTTACTTTGGAAAGAAACAAAGAATTGGCTGTGAGGGAGGTGGCAGAGGAGTCGTATTGGATTTAAAAAAAAAAGGATTATTAGAAGTGTATATATATTTCTTTTTGCAGTGATGGTTAATGCATATACGTGTATTCACTTGCACTCTTAAAAAATGAGTCACTACCATGGTCCAGCTGCAGGGTATATTCAGATGGCAATAGTGGTGTGTGTGTGTGTGTGTTAGAGGAAAAAAAGGAGAGACAGGGAAAGCGGATGTAAGAGACAAGCGACTCCCTGTACTTGGTCCCCCTCACATTTCACTGCTTTCACTTCTCTATAACCCCTCTTTCCTCTCCCCTGTTTCCTTCCTGCCATCTCTCGCTCAATTTCTATCTCTTCTCAGGCGTGGTTTTGTTCCACCATGGCCAGTTGGGACTGAGGAGCCGCCACAATGATTGGAGGATTGTTCATCTACAACCACAAGGGGGAGGTCCTTATCTCCCGGGTCTACCGAGATGACATTGGGTATGTTTCAGAAGAGTAATGCTCCTTTTAACATTTTCTACATTTTGGGTGTGCTTGTTGTGTGTGAAGAGGTCCTGATCTCTTGGGGGTGGACAGCTTGGGACTTATTCTTAGGGGGATGAAAGAGGATTATGTCACTCTAATTGTCATCGCCTCTGAAATTGGTCTAAAAATAGTTATGCCAAGATTACCTCAAGGACGATGACACAAAAAAAAAATCAATATATGTATCTAGAATAAAATGTTCAAAGATTTGTGTTTCTTGATGATTTAAAAATAAGACTCACGATAAGTTAATGATACAATGCAAATGACAAAAATGTTCTCATATAGTTGTCCCAATGTAATGAGGTAATGATTCAGTTCACTCATGCTACCGAACCAGTTACTCTTATTTTTATATAAACTGCAACTGTATGAAAACATCTTACAAACTCTTTTATGGTAATGCAAACTATTGTCAGATAAACTTCTTTTTCTGGAGGATGACATGAAGGGATGCATTTTACTAATATTTTCTTAACATAAATCAAATTGTAAAAAAAAAAGCATGTTAAGAATGATTATTGTCTTTTAATGTCTCACTTAGCTGTACTCCAAAGAAGAGACTTCAACCATAAAATAGCTCAGGTAGTAGTCCTAAAAAATCAAGTTTTTTAAAGCAGAATTGTACTGATGTTTTAGATGCACAGCTGAAAGAACGCGATTTGGATTATTGCCCGAAAACTTTTGATTAACCACTTAGTAAATGAAAATGTGGGTCAATGTTTGGTAGTTCACATGTTTCAAGTAAAAGGCTACCACATGAAGCCACAAAGATGGCATTTGGTATGTAATCCAGACTAACCCAGTTTGGTTTTCCTTCTATCCTGTTGATTATTTGTTTTTTGTGATATGTTGCTAATTTGATTGACCTGTGATGTAGGTCTTCATGCTTACATCCACACATTCACGTTAGCACATTCTGTTTTGTGTAAACCCTTCAGCAAGTTGAAGGTAGGCTTCTCTTCAGAGCAGACGTCATCCCAGTGCCTTGTAGATCTTCAGAGAGAGGGCTGATTATGAAGAGAGGGGAAACTGTTTTTCTGGTGCTACTTATGTGGGTACACAAAAGCATTGCTGGGTCAGTGGGTTATAACGTAACAAAAATAAAACATATAACATGCTGTATATAACGTCATCTCTTGGACAGTTTTTGTTGTAGCTGTGGAGTAAGAGTCATAGGGAAGACTACAGGAAATAGGCAGAAAGAGAATAGTACAATAATCTTAGAGCTGTTCAGTATTGCATCAAAGCAGACTGAGCCAATGAGACAGCATTAAACACTGTTTGAATTAGATTAACCTGAGGTCGGCAGGTTTGTTTAAATGGAAGAGGGACTTGTGTGTACACGGATCTGTTCAATGTTTTGTCCTGCTTCCAGGCTGCAATTAGCGATGACATTGTGATTACTTTATGAACACTCCTTCCACGTCTAGCACCAGAACAATTACACTACAACTCAAGACTCTACATTATCCATTGTGGGGGAAAAGAAGCAAATACAATTGTGTGAGGCTTTTCATTTCACACAATTATCGTTTTTCCCCACATTTATCCATGTGATTACTTAGGGCGATCCTCCTTTTGCTGCCAGAGTGCAGAATAAAACCTGATAGTGGAGAAGCGGTCATGCAGTCCTCTCTATAATCTTCTAAACCAGGGTCGTCAAAATGTTGGATATTTCAATTCCTTTTGATACCACATGCTGTGAATTGATACAACCTCCATTATTATTATGTCCGATAGTATCAATTAGAACTAAGCTCATGAAATAATCATATTTGTCACCCAAGCTGCAGGAAGCAAAAGAGAGAGAGAGAGCAGATGTAGTCGAGACATAGATAAGAATAGGAGAGAGAGGGATGGCCTTGAAGCTGTGAAACACAAATAAGATGTTACTTTCTGATTGGTTCACAGGGGTTACGCTCTAAAGAAGTTCTTATTGTGTCCACATATCTGTTCATTCGTGTGGGAACGTGCTGGATTTAGTTTGTCTGCAGCAGTTGTTTGGGCATTTCAACATAACTGTGTGTCTCCGCTCTGCTCTCTGTCACACCTGCTGCAGCCACAACACAACACAAACTGTTCTTATTCAAAGGTCGGCAAATACTGATATTTTGTTAAGTCCCTTTGGCATCTCAGAGATGCACAAGTTACGTTTGTCTGAGGAGAGAGACAGTGATGGTCCCCAATACATATTTTATTTGTCCCGACCTTCAGACTGTTGAGAGGAAGCTTTAAACCATTGCACAATAACGGATACCCGTAAAATGGGAACTAGACACCACCACACATTTCTACTGGATTATATATATATATATATATATATATATATATATATAAAACACATAATTGATTAATGAGCAATATAAATCTGCTGATATATTTCCCGAGCTTAAGTCTAGTTATGTCACCATTCTAAACACCATGTTACTCACTCGGTCTGTGTACGTGAAGCACGAAAATGTCTCTTGTGCATTTTTGTCTCTCCTCTTCTTTTACATCATCCTATGTTTCCTCTCAATCCTCCGTATCACCATTTTCCTCCATCTGTCCATCTTGGCCCCTGTAGGAATAGGTAAGAGATACTCCAGCCTATCAAAGCATGACCCCTTCCCCTCTCATGGTCATCACCAATCAACTACCCCCTTGAAAACCCTGAACTGCATGCCCATTGATTCCACAGCAGACTTTCCCAATACTTCCCATAAGCATGAGTCACCTGTCATGACATTTCAGTGTTAAATAAACCACTGAGCTAAGACATAACAGCAAAACAATCAACGCCAACAAATTCAGCCACCAGAGCCTTAGAGATGCTAAGAAAACAGCGCTACCAGTGCTTAAGCATGTGGTCTGAGCATGGGATGATATGATGGTCAATGTAATGTTTTCAACTTTTGATTCTGCCCTGATTATTTCACATCAAAGTTGTTCTAGTATGTTGTGGGTTCTGATTGTCAAAGTTTATCCTTGACTTGAGAAAAGTAACGTAAGCCGTTTTCACAAGTGCATGCTCCTGACATTCTCCTGACCTGGCTGTTCACATATGCACCTCCCAGTGGGAGACTGCCCCTCTGGGGTGGGGTCTCCTATGGCAATACCTGATGAAGTAAAAAAAAAAAAAAAATGATGCAGACGAAGCCACACAGTCAGCTATACAGCGATATAATGGGAATCTGCTTTTATGTCAATGCGACGTGTAGTTCAACGGAATCACAATGTCATAAAAAGAGCGGAGATTAACACTCTGGAGGACAGGAAACATGATGCAGGAGTTCAATCACGTGCACAGAGATCGTTGCAGTAGCGTATACAGTCTATGCACAGTGCACTGGTCACAGGATAGAAACATCACCACCCTCTCCTATTGGCTCGAGGTGAATTCTCCGGGTTATATCCTGCAGTGTTCTCCCATCAGCTCACCTGGACTTTATGTGGAACAAATACTAGGAGGCTGGCAGGAGAAAATCCAGATAAAGTCAGTGAAGAATTTGTCTGTTTGCGTTCACACATAAAGCTCATCCGGCAAATATCAGGAGTTTTTTAGGAGTTTTCTGCAAGTTAGAAAGCCCAAAAAACTGAACTGTCAAGGAGGTTTTTTTTTAAAGTGAAATAAGACATTCAAAGATATAGCAGAGTCATTCTTTTTTTTTTTTTATCACTCTGACTACATAAATACTGGAGGCTTATTCATGGTGGGCCTGAAAGGAAAATAGCATGCAATCAATTTTGATTGAAAAAACAGTTGTACAATACACGTAGGAATCAAATTTGCATGACATGAACTAAGAAAAAACAAATAAGGCATTTCTAAGCCTCCTGAAATATTGTACACTTATGGCCTCAAGAGTGTTTATAAAATTACCATGTTGACTTCCTAAACTGTCTCAGTTTTAACATTGAGATGCTTTTCAGACATCACAGAGATCTTCAAGCTTTAGTTAAAAAGTTTTTTTAACAATTTTTTTTTTTTTTTTTAATACATACAATCAGATGACAGTATCTTAACAATTATATAGATGTCTAAAATAGATAAAAGTAGTCTTTGATTCCACACGGAGATCCACTTTCCAGAGATTACCTCTAGATTTTCTCTGAAGGATTTGGTATTCTTACGGGAACGTGTTGAATTCTTTGCCCTAAGCCTTCTTATTTTACACATTAGTCAGGGCTGGGTTTTACAAAAGTATCAAGATTTCATCTATTCTTAAAGGTAAACGTTTTCACATTGGTTTAAAGATTCAATAGAACTAAATGTAACCTACACTCTTCTTTATATATGTTCAAATGGTTAAGTTCCCATGGAGTCCTGTTAGTTATTATGATACCGTTTGGGAGCCAGCCTCACCACTGAGAGCGTTCACTACCCTCTAATTATCTCCATTTATACAAAACAATTTTTATTGTGTTTTTCTGAATCCACCAACACAGGCTGTGCTTTTCCTATTGTTGGAAATGTTTTGGTAATTGCAGATTTTTAAATGGCTGGATTCTGTTTTTCAACGAGATTACCTGAACTGAATATTAAACCTTTCTACAGGATGTCACAGGTTGTTGTTATCCAAACTGTCACTGTTATGTAAAACATTCTTTTAACTCTCAAAATGAATCCGTCTCCCCTCCCTCTCACTTTCTCTCTTCTTCTGTTTTTGTCTCTCTCATCCTTCCTCCTGTCTCAGGCGTAATGCGGTAGACGCATTTCGTGTGAACGTGATCCATGCCCGGCAGCAGGTTCGATCCCCGGTGACAAACATCGCCCGTACAAGCTTTTTTCACGTCAAGCGCTCCAACATCTGGTTGGCGGCGGTCACCAAGCAGAATGTCAATGCTGCCATGGTGTTCGAGTTCCTCTACAAGATGTGTGACGTCATGACAGCCTACTTTGGCAAGATCAGCGAGGAGAACATCAAGAACAACTTTGTGCTCATCTACGAGCTTTTGGATGGTACGAGAATTTATTAGTTGTTTCTGTGTGAACTCGGTATCATTTTCCAAAATATACTGAGATAAATCAGACAACTGAGCAGCTCTGGAGCGTTCAGAGTCAGAACCAGATTATTGCGTTTTAATGGTGTACCTGAATTCAACGCTTATTTCAATCTAAACACATTTTCCACTGACGCTTAAGATGGAACGCTCAACTTCAGTTTGACGTCGTACTGCTGAGTTTAATGTTTACAAATTGTTCAAAAGTGGTAAATCTTAGAAATGCTAAAAAGACAACACTTTTTCATATTTTTATCAACAAAAAAAAAAACAAGATTCTGAGAACCCAGACAGACATCGGGTCCTCTTTCAAGTTGAAAAGATCTTGCATGATAACCCATTGGCAACTGCCTCACAACAGCTGCCTTTAGTATTCCATCACTTGCAAGCTTAAAGTAGTGTTTTAATGTTGAGGGTTACAAGATATGATAGTACAGGCTTTAAATAAGTAGCTAACAGTTATGTTATCAAACTAATGTTTTTGGCTGCTAGTGTGAGGCTATCAAATAATGTTGATTACGCCTGAAGTATTAGTAAATAAAATACAACTGGGAACATTTGGGCGTATTTCAAGGTATTACATGCTAACTTTCTAGCTTCTGGCAGCTAAGTCAGAACATTTAATGTTACTGTTCAGCATAATCCTAGCTAACACTACCCATTTCTAGTGAACTTTAATTGGGAAGTGGTTACCTCTTGACAATCATTAACTAATGTGTAATAAAATATGTTGCTTGACCTTGAATTACAGCTGGTTGTTCCTCCAGATGTTATCAATCAGTTGTATTTTAAATTGTTGATCAATTGAGAAACAGTGAAATAATAGTAATTTTTCTACAACTTCAAACACATCTGTTCAGCCTGAGCGTGAAGTCAGACTAAAATGGGCAGCAATGTGGACATTTGTGTTTTAGATCATGGTGATCCCAGCTGAAGTTTGTGTTTGTCCCCACAGTTGAAGGGTTATTGTTGTCCCATCTTATCTCTTACCAACAGTCATCTGTTTGTGTTCATACAGAGATCCTGGACTTTGGTTACCCCAGAACTCTGAGCTCCTTGGGCAGTTCCTTCAACCTCATGATTCTCATTTGCTCTGACATGCACTGTGAGGTGTAAGGTCTTATATAGACAGGTTTGTGCCTTTCCCAATCAAGTCCAATCAGTTTAATTAAACACAGCTGGACTCCAATGAGTCTCAACCCTAACCATCTCAAGGAGGATCAGAAGAAATGGACAGCATGTGAGTTAAATATGAGTGTCACAGCAAAGGGTCTGAATACTTATGACCATGTGATATTTCAGTTTTTCTTTTTTTAATAAATTTGCAAGAAGTTCTTCATTTCTGTTTTTTTTCTGTCAAGATGGGGTGCTGAGTGTACATTAATGAGAAATAAAATGAACTTTTTTGATTTTAGCAAATGGCTGCAATGAAACAAAGAGTGAAAAATGTAAAGGGGTCTGAATACTTTCCGTACCCACTGTATATCTTAATGTGTTGCACGTGGGCAAAATAATCTCAAATTGAGCATTTTATTCTTTTAAAAATGAAAACACAAACCTTCGAGGCTGCCGTCAAGTATTTTTTGTTTTAATTGTGCTCTACTGATAACTTGCTGCAGAGGGCGCTGTGGGCCAAACCTGTCCACTAGGTTTTCAAAGTACACATTTAAAAGCTGGGATATCGTATAGTATGACTCATGTCGAAATGGAATGATTCAAACTTCTGGTGGATCAGATGATCAACAAGTGCAACACATGTGCACTCATGTCCCAGTCATTTCCTGCTCTATTTCAGGCAGACAGCATTTGTAGATTCACTCTCACACCGGATCTCCCCTCTTAAGCTCAGACTTAGTACAGCTGATTCCAGAGACATAAAGGCACCATGCCATCATCTCTTACCAGTCAGAGGGATCAAATACAACCGGGGTGCAAGATTAGCCATCACACCCAGTGTCAACCCCCATAACACACACACACACACACCATACATCCTGCCGACTCCAGGAATATATATTAACATCCATGTCCTTTGTAGAAAATACACACACACACACACGTCAATCAAGTGCCCATTGTACATAAGGGAACCAATCCTTTGAACACAAGATACATGTCTGTTAGAGTCTCTCTCTGTTTCTCTCATCTGCTCTGTGTCTCACTCTTAAGTCTCCACAGCTGAGGGGACACATGGCACTGAGCCCCCAGAGAACGCCGAAGGTCAGACCCGGGCACAAACGCTACGAGGGGAGGCCTGCTGCAGTATCCAGTGTCATTAATTCAGTGTGACAGACGTCAGCAATTAAACACACAGGGTGGAATACTGTTCCTAAAAACACATCATCAATTATATTTCAGAAATTGTAACTTCATATTCCATATGTAACAAAGAGCTTTTTGTAAAGTGTCTCGAGAAAACACTTGTTATGAATTGCCGCTATTCAAATAAAGATTGACTGATTGATCTTGAAGCCTTTTTCAAAGCAAATGAATTAAATATTCCACAGGGTAACTGTTGGCTTATAATTTCATCTTTGCCTTTAAAATGTGGTTGAATGCAATACTTTATCAGAGCAGAAGGACGAACGACTGATATTACACTAAGAAGTCCGAGGTTAGACATGTTTATCGTTCTGTATTATGACAAATATGCAATCTGAAGGATAAAACTTTCTTTGATAGTTTGGGAAAATATTCTTACTTCCTCAAAATTCAAAACAGATATTCATGGAATCTATGGAGATGTATTTTGATGACACCGATTTGATGAGGGTCTAAGAATACATCTGCCTTACAGATAAGAAGCATATTTAACTTCTATTAACGACTTACGTTTTCTTTTTGTCCAATTATAGGATTAACAATCAAATACCTGCAAAACTCATGACATTTCCATCAGCCTCAGCTTTACTGCCATTAGTTGCATGCTAAGCTAGGACAGCTACCGACTAAGCATCATTATGAGCGTTGTAGCATGGTGATATAAGTAAGTCAACAAAGTAACTAGCGTGACTGCATATTCTGTTTAATCTTATAAACTGAGCTGCATATTGTACAAGCCATTTTACAAATCACACAAATTGTAAAGCTCAATAAGACACAAGCTGGGATTTTGGTGTAACGAAACTCTATTATTTTATAGTGTAGGCCAAGTCTTTGTTATCTTGTTCCACTCACAAAACACCTGCATTCCAGCCATACCTCTCTAAGAAGGAGGCTTTATTACAGCACTGGCACTCATACGCTTCCTCCTCCTTCTCCTCCTCAATTCAGGAAGCAATTGAACTTGAGCAAACATGTGCACTGCACGAACACACAAAGTCACACAGTCCGCATAGCACCAATCACAAAGACTGTTCCTCTGAGTCGGGAGTGTTGTGCTGCAGTTGACACCAGCTTTGGCCTCTAGAGAGCAACACTTACACATCAGTCAGGTGGTCTCTTAGTGAAGAAGCTGGGTCCTGCAGAGGTCTCACAAGCCTGCAGTTGTTACTGTCACTCAGTATCATCACAGCCTCCCCCTGCACACACACATACACACACATACGGGCAAGTTGGAGCCTGTACAAACACCCACACATGACCCAGTATGCATGCACACACACTCACCACGTTCAGACGCGCACACACACACACACACACACACACACACACACACAACAGCACACATGAGCCAAGGAGCATGGGCAGCAGGGTCACCCTTTGCTCCATGCTTCATAAAGGGCGCCGTTACAATAGGTTTACTGTTACTCTGACGGCTGAAGGGATACAATAGGACTGAATGTACTGGCCTGATGCTTCTACACTCCTCTCCATTTTTCACTTGATGACAAGAGAGACAGACTGAGACGGGACAGCATGTTATCAGAGACGCCCCTGAAGGTGAGTTGACTCATTGCAGGGTTAATGTATTCATCCGTTTCAATGAGTAGTAAAGCTGTAGTGCTGACAGAGGGATATGTGTGAGAATAATTTATGGATTTGTGAATTTTGATGAACTTATATTCCT